ACTGTATGCCAGGCATTGGATCACCTAGCAACGCCCAAGGCCATTCAGAATGTTTAACAACCTTCGATTATCAGGACAAAGTCTCCCTATTTTTCCTTGAGGAATAGGGCTACCAAAATCTTTTACCACACATCAAGCCTCTGGTCACATCTGCTAGTCAATTCCTCCTCCACTGTGCGTCATCCACACTGACTCTTTGCTGAGCACTGCTAGTACCTAGTACCTTCCTGCCTCAGGACTTTCCACATGCTGTTCCTTTGGCATGGGATACCTTCCACATTCTCCACCCAAACGCCTGCCTGGCTTTCTTCCTTCAACTATCTGCTCGACTGTCCCTATCCTGACACTCTCTGATGGATCAGTCTATTCACAGTTGTATGCCAGTTGCTGAACAAGAACCTGCAGGTCACTTGTACCCCATGGCCAGCCCTGTGTGTCAGGGTAGAACTGGGCTCCGCAGCAAATCAGGGCTGGTGTTCTGGAAGCAGAGCACCAGGCCTGTCTGCCAAGCTGCCTCTGGATGGACTCGAACCTCCCCCCGTTCTGTTAGCACCCAAGTGTATTAACTGTTCAGACCACCCAAGCACTCCTGGTTTTTTTTTCCTCCATAGCACTTGTCACTGTCTATATTATATATTGAGGAGCTCTGGTGGCATAGTGCTTAAAGCACTTGGCTGCTGACCAAAATGTTGGCAGTTAAAACCTACCAGCTGCTCCATGGGAGAAAGATGAGGCAGTCTGCTCCCATAAGGATTTACAGCCTTGGGAACCTAATGGGACAGTTCTCTGTCCTAGAGGGTCACTGTGAGTCAGAATCAACTCAACATCAGTGGGTATATTACATAGTTCATTTAACCATTTTGTTTACTTTGTTTTCCCCATTAGATGCTAACCTCCACAAAGGCAGAGATTCTTGTAGCTTTTACTTTCTTTCATTTTACATTTGTATTTCCAGCCCCTGGAAGAGGTCCTGCTCGGTGGAAAGTGTTTGATAAACAGTAGTTGAATAAATTAAAGAATATTTTTAAAGACTAAGTTTTCAGAGAGGAGAAAAGAAATAGCGCGGCTCTCAAAGAAATACAGATCCCAAAAGTACAAGAAGGATGGGGGATGGAAAGGGAGAAAAGAAAACGTTATGAAGAAGATTTTAAAAAGGAGAAAGACATTAATAGGACAGACAAAAAGTGGCAGGGCAAGTTTGAGAAACAAGGAAACTAACGAAGTCAACTGGTGGGTGTTATTGATGGCCTGGAATTGACCACAGTTCCAGCCTTGACTGAATTGACAGAGCTGAGTTAATATTTCACTGACTCTAAATGGCGTTTTGTGTGTGGTATAGAACTGTTTGTCTTAGATAAACCAGATGATGCCGCCATGCTGATGGGACTTCAGATGAAACATGTGATATAAATTTGTGTCATGAGCCCGTTGCAGAAGAACTGGATCAGCAATGATTCCACAATTGAGAAAGAAGAAGAAAGAACGAAAGGAATGGAGGAAGGTTGTTTCAGTTACCTAGTGCTGCTCTAACAGAAAATGCCACCAATGGGATGGCTTTAACAAACAGGACTTTATTCTCTTACATTTTGGGAGGCTAGAAGTCCGAGTTCAAAGTGCCAGCTCTAGGGGCTGGGTGAAAGCCCCTTGACCTTGGGCTTCAGCTCTGCCTCCTGCTCCCGGCCCACTGAAGCTGGAGGCTTTCTTAACTCAGGCAGCTGCTGGCTGCTGAGGCTGACAAGTCCAAGGTCGACAAGCAAAAAGGCACAGTCCTGATATTACCAAACCACACGACAGGCCACTCATTCAAGTCCGTTGAAAGTCCCAAGATCGGCAGAGCATGGCAGGCTGCTGAATGAAGACTTGGCTACGTGCAGGGTCCAAGCCAAGAAGCTAGAGACCATTACCCAAGGCCTCTCCTTATACACAGGAAGCAGACCACCTCTCTAAAGCACCAACTCAGCTGCTCATGGCAGATCCCACCATGGAGTTGATCGCCAGTCTCATCATGGAGAATAACTACCACCAGCTGCCCAGCCAATCAAAACCAAGCCCAACCAAGTTGACATAGAACCTGAACTACCACAAAGGTAAAAAAGAGAGAGAGAAAGCAAAGGAGAAAGTTGTGAGGTACAGGGTCCGTTTAGACCAAAGGATACAGGATTTGGGCAAAGAAAGGCTAGGGAACGAGTAAGTGCTGGAAAAGAGAATGAGTAACCCCCACAGAAGAGCCCTTGCCTGTGTTGGTTTCTCCACGCGAGACATTCTCCGTCTCATCTATAACCCTCTCCCGTGAAGGCTCGTGCCATGTACCATCTACTCCACAAAACCTCACGTGCCAGGCGGGAAATGCTCTCCTAAATCGATTCCTGCCTTTGGGCATTGACTCCCCATAGTCAGCCTCAGACTACCGACTCCCCGCTTTCTGAGGTCCCTCTGGGCGGGGGCTCTGATTTCCCCATCCCCTCCAGCACCAAGCTCAGTGTCTCCTGCTAGAAGCAATATTATATTTGTTGAACCAAAAACTTAGAGTATTGAGAAAAAAGTAGCAGAATGCTGTCATTGT